TTGGTCATTTAGTCTTTTTTCCTTTTTACAATTTTTCAAAAGCTCCACAATCCCTTAAGTGTTAATAACATGTACAGCTTACTGTAATAGGACAGAGATAAGACTGAGTTTTATTCTTTTTCTTAAGGTGGTTTTAAAACAAGGGACCCGGATCATCGGGGACTGGGCCCAAGTCCGCTCTTAAAGGCTTTATAAGCGCCCTTGAGCACCAACATGAAACCAAAACAACTCGCGCTGCATTGTTGTGTTAGCATGCTAATGCTAGCGATCTTTATTATGCTGGTATCTTCACACTGCATGTAAATTTACCTGAAATGAGCGTGATCTAGAAACACAGTTAAGCAGTGAGTACAGTATGTTATTCTTCTTTTCTCTAGTCCCTCAATTAAACAACTTTTATACACGAGGGGAGGAGTCAGCCGGCCGTCCAGGCGATGTAAACAAAGTGAAGATAGGACTCTGAAAACTGTGAAAACATCACAGACAGTGGGACTCGGGTGTTACACCCATTGTAGACAGTCATGACTCACAGAGTTATTTTCAGAGGAGATACTTGATTTATACATTTAAGTGTGAAAAATCACATATAAAGACTTTAAAGATGTGGTCACAAGCCCGAATCATGTGCACTTAAGTCCGGTCTGCAGGAGATGTGAACGCAACCGTGCTCAATCAAGGAAGTGGACGGCTATATCACATAATTCTACACGGCTCCTGTCGAGCCCGTTTCATCCTCTGAGCTGCACGGGTCCATGTGGACGCAGGAAGTAGATCATTGTTGGCGTCTCTTAAGTAACAAAAACATCCACAGTTAGCAGGATGGACTCGGTGTGTGAGTGGTTGCCATGGCTACTTTTTCTGGCAGATTTGCAAACCAACCATGTGCATACCGCCCCCTGCTGTATCGGAGTGTGAACTCACACAAGTATACTCGGGTACAGAACAATGTTACTAAAGTGAGCGCAGACCAGCAGGGGGAGGGGGGAGCAATCGCTTGTAGTCCAAACACTTGTTTGTGCCCTTATGTCGGGCTGTTTTCCTGCATGTGTGTGTGTGTGTGTGTGTGTGTGTGTGTGTGTGTGTAACAGAGTGGATGAGTCGGTCCAGTGCTGGCAGTAATCTCAGAGTTTCAGAGGGTGGCCTAGTTCACAGCTCCCATGTTTCTGGGCTTTATTATCATCCCATCGATAACATCTCCTCTCGTCTCTGTGCAGCCCAGAACACTCCGTCTTTGTTCCCCCCCCCCCCTCTCTGTTCTTTGTACACGCTGCTCTCTCGTCTCTCATCCATCACTATCTGTACTCAAATTAGTTAAAGGAATCACAGCCCGGGCTCTCCATTATCTTAAAGGGTGGCACGGTTAAAAATCGTCCTTTTTGCTGATTCCTCTGTCTGAACAGCCTCTTCATTGAACACTCTCCTGTCACGCTGCAGATTCGTTTCAGAGCAGGTAAAACGCCACCGCTCGCTGAAGAGGGAAACCACTCATGAGTACGGGGCTGCATTAACATATATTCTTCCCCTTCTGCACATGGTTATGGAATTATAATTAAACTATTCTCTAGTCCTCTTCACATCACCTAGCAACAAGATGCAACCACCGTTACACTTTCCACGCCGATCAAGAAATGTGTAAAGTTGTGAAGGTTGACGTTACAAAAATGCGCCTTCAAGGAGCAATCAGAGACTCTGGTTTATATAGAAAAGCTCAAATGTCTGGTGTTAGGGTTTGTGTTTCCAACCTCTGAGAAGTGTTGCTATGGCAGACAGAAAATGTTGAAAAAAACCTGCTGGGCCCCTATTTAAGGTACAGTTTGTAAATTCCACCACCAGGGGGCTCTCTTTCAAAAAACAATAACAAAAGATGAGGTAAAGGCTGGCGGGGAATCTTGGGAGTGATTCTCTCGGCTACTCCCCGCCCCATCCCAGGTGAAAAAAACTCTGAGTCGACCGTAGTCATGACGACCGGGTGAAACCGACCTGAAGAAGAGAATATGTTTACAGACGAGCTGATGTATCCGAGTATAATTTACATGATTTTATGACAGCAGCACATACTGTGACAGTACAGCAGCTTTCAGTAGCAGCTCACACTTCCTTATGCAGCGGTCGATGACGTAACAACTGGTGTTTCCACGGCAACGATTAACATGTTGTGTCTGTCATGGCATTACAGCTCTAAAATTACAGATTTTTCTGGCTTTGATAACTGTTGGAAATATTTGAGGTCATGTAAGAACTCAACAAAAAATATATAACAAAGGTTTAGTCCATTTTTTATCAATTTAGATATTTTAGTGTAAAAGTTCTACATTTCTTTTCTCCTCGTGTCTCTGCATGAACGTCTCATTTCTTGTTTCCTGTTTTGTCTTTGTGTTTTTTCATTTTCCCCTCATTTCCCCGCGTCCTCCACCGTGACATTTCCTTATTTTCACTCCCTCTCCATCCGTCTCTTTTCTGTCTCACCTTGTCTGCTCTTTCTCATCATGTCTGCTCTTCTCCTTCTTCATCTTTTTTCTCTCCACATATTCTGTCTTTCCTCTGTTTCCCGCTGCTGTCTTCCTCGCCTCTGTCTTTAATCTCTCTCTCCCTTGTACCCTTTGATTTTCAGGTTTAAAATTGAAATTGCTACATCGCTCTTTCCCTCCCCCTCTTTCCTCTTTTCTGCGTCTGTCTTTCCTCCGTGGATATTCTCTCCTCTTCAATTTTCTTCTTCAGCTTCAATCTTTTTGCATTATTGGAACAATCCTCTGCTCAGAACATTGTGTTTGATCTCCACGTCTGCTTCTCTGCATCACAACGAGACCCAAAGTCATTACAAAGGACGAAGCTGCAACACAAGTGTAAATGTATAAATTTGCATGAGGAGGACAAACGGGTCATGAGGAGGTAGAGACGGACCGATACAGAAAGATGATGGACGGGTCTTCACTCAAATGTTAGACTGAGACTGATATAATACACCGACCTGACAAAATCTGATAAAAGAAGTAAAGATAAAAACCAAAACTTCAAGCAGAGGAGATGAAAATAAAAGTTGCTGACACACTGAAATGTCAAAAAAACAAATTCCTAAAGACGAGATCCTCTAAAGTTAAAACTTTCATCTGATGCTGACAGCAGTAGAAACCCTCATTTCAGCCTCGGCCTGGAGCGGTTACTTTCTGCTGCTGTCTCTTTAAGGCCCCCCTTCCCGTGTGCACACTCTCTTCTGATTGGCCAGCTCTCTGGAAGCAGAACGCTGCAGGGCTGCCAGGGGAGGGCTGATCTCCAGAGCTGGGAGAAGAGAGTCTATGTGAGAGGTTTCGCCGGCTTACGTCGAGGCTTGAAGCCGTCTGGTGAAAATTCCTGGTTCCATATCGGGAAACTATGTTTTGATTTGAAGAACAAGCCGTTTAGCGCCCTCTGCAGTCTCATCCTGGGATTACTCCAACATAGTTTACCTCATGATCTGAGACTTAACCCTCGTTTAGTTTAGACATCCAGCATTGAAACACTGTATGTGAGTTTTAAAATGAGGATCAGCAGAATAGGTCGACTTTAAGTATCGGCTAATGAAGGTCCAAACCGTGATGCTTTCCCAGATCCTAAAGAGCTGGTCTGTTTGCATTAACAAAACCTAACTGCAACCTTTTCAAAACATGAACCAGGTGACGAATAATGATGCTCAACAAAACTTGTAAAATGTCAAATGTTTCTCATCAAGCTTTGTTTTGGAGTTTGCTTGATTATTTTCACCAACTTGACCTTTTGACTTAGTTGTCTAGTCAGCAATCCTGATTTTTAAAACCCCTCACAAGCAGATGGAACAAAAGGGGGATCTTCCTTGTTTGTCACATGTCACAGAGAGAGCCAGTGACCTAGAGGCTGTAGTGGAGGGTCGGGTCGGTCATTTCTCAACCGGAAGGTCGGGGGTTCGATCCCCAGCTCCTGCAGCTACTTGTCTGATGTGTCCTTGGGCTTGACCCTTGACCCCGCTTCGTCTGCGGCTTATGCATGTGTATGAATGGGATTACACTTTACATAGCATCTACCTTCAGTGTGTGAATGTGCAGCTCTGACCTGTGGTGTCAAAGAAAGACTGGAGAAGCGCCATACAAGCTCAAGTCCATTAATCGCTTACCATTTGATGTGCTGCTACCTGACTGGATTATGTCTCTGCTGATTTTATCACTGCAGAGATTCTTCTCAGTTTAAGATTATGAGTTCTCTGCATTGGAATAACTTGTGTTTTTATAGCTTTTTGAAATGTATTTTCAGGCTGGAACCCCGACTTCAAACTGTGTTTTTTTTCCTTCATTTTAGCGCGCCCCAAGAGATAGTTTCATCTATATATGAGACATGTTGGCAAATCCTACAGAAACCTTGTAGTATCTGCTGTTGCAGTACACAGTCCTGACTCTCATTGTAGCTAAAATGTTAAAAGCCGAGCTCTGAGACCGCCCCAGATTGGATTCCCTGTGACAGTGAAAACTTCTGGTACTTTCTATTAGTTCAGATAACAACACATAAAATAACCCATCTAGTGGCAAATGGTTTTTGTAAAATAAGTTTTTGTTATTCTAAATCGTATTGCTCGTGGAAGAAAATACTTTTGTCATTTTGTGGTGACAGAAAGAATTCAATATGTGCCTCCACAAATTCATTTCCTTCTTTTTGTCTGGCACAAAAAAAAAAAAAACTCACATCTAACCACTTTTATTGCCGGCCTCCTCTTCCCTCTTCCTCGAGAAATCTGTCAGAGTCTCAGTGAGATTTGAAATTGCTGCTGTCTGGCCCCGGAGTTGAAGCTCTGTCATTGCCTGTGATTAGTGTATCATTACTAACGGACATCCAAGAAAGTCTGGACAGAAGGTGGTGGAATAATTAGACTAAGTGTTTTCTGCTTCTTCCTCTAACTTCTGCAGTGTTTGAGCATGAAGTTAGAGGAAGAATGTGCAGAAATGTTCTCCAGATAATCAAACACATTTTTTTTTTGTCTCTGTCGTCCTCTCGCGCAGGATGATCCCAGCCAACCACAAGTACTTCCTGCTGAGCGACCTGGCGTCGTCGCGGGACTACGAGTTGTGCGTCTTGGCCGTCTACGATGACGGCATCACCGCCCTGACCGGCACCAAGCTGGTGGGCTGCGTGTCATTCAGCACCGAGACGGAGTACGGACGCTGTCACTCTATACGAGACCAGGTGAGGGAGTCCCACCTGGAGAGGTTCTTAGACCTCTCTAGTTTTATTGATCATTATGAGAAAAAGTGGTCCTGAATAACAGTCAAGCACACATTTCTTTTTATATAATATGCATTTTTAAACTGTCCCCCAAGTCAACATTTTTTATGGAATTGCAAATTTCACCGTCAGTGGTCAGTCACACCTCATAGGCTGACTGTCTTCATGTTTTCTGATCCGTTTTCCTGCAGTTCCTGGGAGGAACCATGATCATCATCATCGGGGGGATCATCGTGGCCTCCGTCCTCGTCTTCATCTTCATCCTCCTCATGAAGTACAAGCTGCACAGTAACCACTACAAGCAGAAAGCTGCCGCTCGCCAAGCCAACGTTTGCTCCCAGACCAACGGAGGAGGAGGAGGAGGCGGAGCCACGGTCCTCGCTCTGCCTCCGTCCTCCTCCTCAGCAGGACAGGGTAACTGCAGGAAAACATGAACAACAAACATCATGTGACTCGTTTAGTTTTTTGATCTTGATTCCACTAATCCGACTCCATGTTATCGTCTCGTAGGTGGAGGTGCTAATAAAAACTCTCAGCCGTCGTCGTCAGCAGACGGGATGGGAGGAGCTTCTCTCCGAGGAACGACTGTAGTGGACTTAAACCCCACCCGCGACGATGACGCCATCTCCCAATAACACACAAGAAAACTGTCAATCAAAACCCACAACCCACCGATCTTTAAGACCCAAACCAATACTCCACCTCCCTCCCCCCCTTTTTTTATTTTTGATTTGTTGCTGGTGCCTGGAGCAAAACTCCACTTCACGACGAGGAGCGGCTGCTGTCATTGGT